CCTAAATAGAAGGATAGGCTTCATGGCTAAAGTTTAGGCTTAGCCAAGATTCCCTTTGTGTTAATAAACGTAACCAAAAGAAAAATGGGGGGAGTAAGCCATATATATGGTTTCTGGCTAGTGGTATGTGGCCTTCTTGAATCAGTCTTGGTTAGGAGATCCTAGGTCACCTTTTCCTACTCTCACCTTCTGTCACCTAACTTTAGTACTTTTTAAAGAAACTGCAACATGTAGAACTTGCCAAAGTTGTGTTATAATACTAAATGCAACCAGTTAATTGAGGAATAAAGCTTTGTGGAAGTTTTGCATGGGAAATAATAATAATATAGAAAGTTGGATATAGGACTTCTATTTTTTAAAAATTTTTATTATTTTTTAGGTTTAAAAACAAAACTCTTTATTTTAAGTAGACTTTACACTCAACGCAGGACTTAAGCTCACAACTGAGATTAAGAGTCACATGTTCGGGGCACCTGGGTGGCTCAGTAGGTTAAAGCCTCTGCTTTCGGCTCAGGTCATGATCCCAGGGTCCTGGGATCGAAACTCACATCGGGCTCTCTGCTCAGCAGGGAGCCTGCTTCCCCCTCTCTCTCTGCCTGCCTCTCTGCCTACTTGTGACCTCTCTCTCTCTCTCTCTCTCTCTCAAATAAATAAAAAATATCTTAAAAAAAAAAAAGTCACATGCTTTACCAACTGTGCCAGCCAGGCACCACTCTATTTTTTTTGATAAATATTATTCTAAATGGTTCCTCTCAGGTAGTTGATAAGTCATCGTTCTTTTTATTTTATTTTAGCATTTTGTGACTAGTATCGTTTTGCCAAAGAATTTCTTGGCATGCTTATGGGCCTAGATATCAAAATCATTAAAGTAGACATTATACACAAGGAAGTTTTAGCATGTAGATGGAGAAAACCAAACGCTTGCTGAATGGCAGCCTTCAATTATTATATAAACTAATAATTAGTTATATTCTCTGACCCTGCTAGGAAATGAGTTTAAGCTAAAGCACTAAAGATCTAGGTTTGGCAAGTAAGAGTTTCCTGAAGAAGGGTGCTTGGGTGGCTCAGTGGGTTAAGCCTCTGCCTTCCTCCTAAGTCATGATCTCAGGGTTTAGGGATTGAGCCCCACATAGGGCTCTCTGCTTAGCAGGGAGCCTGCTTCCCTCTCTCTCTCTCTCTGCCGACTTGTGATCTCTCTGTCAAATAAATAAGTAAAATCTTAAAAAAAAAAAAAAAAGTTTCCTGAAGAATATTAGAGTGGTTACCTGGGAAAGGAGTTTCTTAGGAACCTGTGAGATATCTTTCTCTGAAGTCATTAAGGGTAGCTTTGGTTTTTCTTTTGGTTTGGAGATGGTGGCCTCTGAGAGCTCTTAGGATTTTATAACCTTTTTGGCTTTTGCACTTGGAGAGAATATTTTAATATTTTACCTTTGCTTTCTTTTCTAATTTGGAATAGTTATTTAAACCCCGAGTTTAATACACTGCTGTACTCCCCCATGATCACAGACTACATATTCTTAATGATGTGCTTATTTATCTGCTAACTGATTTGATTCCACCACATGCTGTATCTACACTCTGTTAAAAAGCAGCAGATTCGGGGTGCCTGGGTGGCTCAGTGGGTTAAAGCCTCTGCCTTCAGCTCAGGTCACGATCCCAAGATCCTGGGATCGAGCCCCACATCGGGCTCTCTGATCAGCGGGGAGCCTGCTTTCCCCTTTCTCTCTGCCTGCCTCTCTTCCTACTTGTGATCTCTGTCTGTCAAATAAATAAAATCTTTTAAAAAAATTATTTAAAAAAAAAAAAAAACAGATTCGGGGCACCTGGGTGGCTCAGTTAGTTAAGTGTCTCCCTGCGGCTCAGGTCTGGATTCCAGATTCCTGGGATTGAGCTCCCACATGGCATCTGGTTCTCTGCTCAGCGGCCTGCTTCTCCTTCTCCCTCCTTCTGCCTGCCACTCACCCTGCTTATGCTCCCTCTTGCTCACTCTCTCTCTCTCTCTCTGTGTCAAAAAAATAAAATCTAAAAAAACCAAAACAGGTTCTAACTCTTGGCTCAGATACTTAAATCCAGGAGTTTAGTCTTGTCATTTCTTGTTATTATAACCAGTTGGGCCCAGACCCAGGTGGATGGTTGGGGGGGGGGGGGGGGGAAACCCCAGATGTTTCAGGAGTGCATGGCTGGCTCAGTTGGAAGAGCATGTGACTCTTGATCGTGGAGTCATGAGTTCAAGCTTCCTCTTGGGTGTAGAAATTACTTTTAAAAAAATAAAACCTTAAAAAAAATCAGATGTTTCAAATTGTTCTTATACTTTGTCTCTGGCTTGATAAGCATCATCTGCATTCCTACAGATATCTTTAAGTGCATTAGATGTATTTTCTGTAGTGTTCCCCAGCCAAATGCAAAAATCTGAATAGAGCCCCATGTGTTAAGCCCCAGTTTAAAGACTCTTGAATACCTGATAAAATATTTTGATAGCATAACTAGGTAAAGCTAGGCCTTTTTAATAGCTTCAAATAAACTGTTTCTTCAAGAGTCATAAATGGTTACATGTGTCTTTCTAACACTGTTAATGTGCATTGTTTCAAGGGGAGAGAGGTGAAGGTTGGGAGTGGATGGAAAATTTAACTCTGGACTCTGTTTTTCTAGTCTACTAGTCTCTCTGATAGTTGATTTCCCTTAAAAATAAACAGCTTCAGGGATACCTGGGTGACACAGTCAATGAAGCATTCAACTCTTGGTTTCACCTCAGGTAATGAACTTAGGGTCATAAGATTGAGCCCCATGTCAGGCTCTGTGCTCAGTGCAGAGTCTGCCTAGGACTCTCTCTCTCCCTATGCATCCCCCCCCCCCGACTCTCTCTCAAATAAATATTTAAAAATAAATAAATAAACAGTTTCACTGATACTTAGAGGTCTGAGCAAAGATAATTTGAGTACTGAAATCTGTAAAAAGTAATGACCCCTAGTCAGAAAATATCCTGGCTTTTTTTTTTCTTTTTTTAAGATTTTATTTATTTATTTGACAGAGAGATCACAAGTAGGCAGAGAGGCAGGCAGAGAGAGAGAGAGGGAAACAGGCTCCCCTATGAGCAGAGAGCCTGATGCGGAACTCTATCTCAGGACCCTGAGATCATGACCTAAGCCGAAGGCAGAGGCTTTAACCCACTGAGCCACCCAAGTGCCCCAAGATCCTGGCTTTTATTAATAAACTCTGCTCAGGTATTCCTATCTCTGTAATCGAAGTCCTTGATAATCTTTTCCATATAAATGGAAAACCAGGTGATTTGTTACTGTTACTGACTTTCACTGAGGTAAAACATGGTTTACATATTTTCTGCCAATTTCCCAAATATATATGTTAGACTGGTAATTATTGTTTTCTCTAGATCATTGTTTCAAAAGGTAAATGTTCAAAAATGTTTTAAACTTAGGATGAACTGAATAAAGAATACTGAGGCTTTCTAATCTAAGACCTGTTCTTAATTTAGCTAACTGAATTATCTGATTTGCCATACATTTGTTCTTCTTTCTTAAAGGAGGTGATCGCTCCTGTAGCTCGTCAACACAAGGACTTTCTTTTCTTTAAATTGGTTTTTGCTTCAACTAAGTGAAAACCTGGCAGTTTCTTTCTTACTTTTCTTTTCTTCTTTAAATTTGACAGTTTCTAAGTTCACATATTATACCCCTCTCCTATCCAAATACATGTTTGAGGAAAATGTTCTCTGTAGTCAGGGAAAGCCTTTTCTACTCTTTGGCAAGTTTTCATCTGAGAGGCCCTTTCTTTCTTCGCTCTGCACTTGTTTCTCCTGTATGTTCAGTGCCATCAGTAAACACTCAGCATAGCAACTTAGCAACAGCAAGCGTACTTTTCCAAAATCTCCTAAAAGTTTTTCCAGCTAATGACAGAGTAACTTGGTCCCACTGAAAAGGCTTATTGGTCTTCCTTCTACCTGCCACTTTGGGGATAGGGATCGGAAATATCATGTATTTAGAGAGGAAAATGTATATAAAAGAGCATTGAATCTGGTGGTGGCTCTGCCATCAACAGAGGGACAGTAGGCATGGCATTTACAATGCCTGGGGCCTCAATTTCATTATCTAAAAAACAGGGTAGTTGAATTATATGATCTCCGAGAATTCATACTGCTTTAAAATACATGATTATTGTTCTTAAGAATCTTGAATATAATCACTCTTGGATGCATATAGTTTGCCTTTGTCACTTGTTCATTGTACATGAAATTTCTGTCACCACACTTCAAAGGCCTTTTTCTTTGATATCCACCTAATCTAGCATTGATTGATCCTAACAGTGTTTGAAGGGAATGTGTCTGATGGAAATCTTGGAGAGCTTGCTTGCAGCAAGTGGAAAGGCCTCAGAAGTGTTTGATGCTATTTCAAGATCTGGTTATCTTTCAGTTATTTGGTTGATGTTTCCCAAGCAACTTGGTCACAACTTGTTAAAATTTCCAGTATAACCACTAAATCCAGGGTAGCTCAATTGCCAGGCTAACACAGACCCAGTCCAAATCTTCCTTCCATTGTTAGGGTGCTGCAGAGACAGTATGGACTTTGGAGTAAGCCGGAGCTGGGAGTTCACAGTATGACTCTGCCTTTTTCTGATTTTGTGATACAGGTTCATCTCTCTGTGCCTTAGTGTCATCATCTATATAATAGCAATACTTAAGTACCTACCTTAAAAATTGTTATGGAATCAAATGTGATGACCGACAAAAAGAGTTTCTCACATGCCTCATTGTGAGAACACCTGACATTTGTATACCTCTTTACCATTTATGAAACACTTCATCAAAGTAGTTTTATTTAGGGAACGAAATGGGTGATTTTCTTTGCTGGCTAATATATCATTTAGATATTGAGGCCTGAGTCAGACTTGCTAGGTAGGGGTCCCTGGACCTTTGGAACTGGGTCAGGCCAGGTCCAGAGCCTTGGCTATTTTGCGGGTCTCTCATAAAAACATTCTTTAATGTTTTCCAGGAATCCGAATTTCTGTGTTTGGAATTTGATGAAGTCAAGGTCAATCAACTCCTAAAGAAGCTCTCAGAGGTAGAAGAAAGTATCAGCACACTGATGCAGCCAGCCTAGCTGAAGATGGAGTTGTTGAAGCAAAGGTGTTCATGATCCCTCCCCAGTGACCTGGGTTTTGTTGTTGTTGTTTTGTTGTTTTTTAAAAAAATCTTTCCCCCCATTAGTATTAAATCCTCAAATTCAAATCTTATCTGTCTTTGCTTTCTGGCATTTCTTTCTCTTTCCCTTTCATTCACTCTTACTTGCAGAGGTTCTAGTACTTCAGCATGCAGAGATGCTCATAAAAGCATTTTATTTCATTTTAAGATTTATTTTTAAGTAATCTCTGTACCCAGCATGGGGCTCGAACTCACAACCCTAAGATCAAGAGTCACATGCTCCACTGACCGAGCCAGCCAGTGCACATCATAAAGGCATTTTAAAAATAAGGCTTCTGTGGCTGGGTGATGGACATTGGGGAGGGTATGTGCTATGGTGAGCACTGTGAATTGTGTAAGACTAATGAATCGCATATCTGTACTCCTGAAACAAATAATACATTATATGTTAATTTAAAAAAAGAACTGATAAAACCCAATACCTCAAAACCCCAAATAATCCAATTAAAAATGGGCAGAAGACATGAACAGGCATTTCTCCAAAGAAAACATCCAGATGACCAACAGACATGTGAAAAGATGCTCAACATCACTCATCATCAGAGAAATACAAATCAAAACTACAATGAGATAATCACCTCACACCTGTCGAATGACTAAAGTCAAAAACACAAGAAGCAATAAGTATGGGCAAGGATGTGGAGAAAAAAGAACCCTTGTGCACTGTTGTTGGGAATGCAAACTGGCACATCCACTGTGAAAAACAGTATGGATGTTCCTCAAAAAAATAAAAATAGAATTACTGTATGATCCAGTAATTCCACTATTGGATATTTACCCTAAGAAAATGAAAAAAAATAATTTCAAAAGATATATGCACCCCTATGTTTATAGCAGCATTATTTACAACAGTCAAGATATGGAAGCAGCTTAAATGTTCATCAGTACCTGAATGGATAAAGAAGATGTGTGTGTGTGTGTGTGTGTGTGCGCGCGCGCGCATGCCTGTGTCTGATATTAGCCAGAAAAAAGAAGGAAATCTTGGCCATTTGCAACAACATATTTGGAGAATATGAGAATATAGAGTATAATGGTGAAATAAGTCAGTCAGAGAAAAACAAATAGCATATGATTTCACTCATGTGGAATTTAAGAAACAAAACAAAGAAAAAAGACAAACCAAAAAACAGACTCTTACCTATATGGAGAGCAAACTGGTGGTTACTAGAGAGGAGGTGAGTGGGAAAATGGGTGAAACAGGTGAAGGGGATTAAGAGTACATGTATCGGGGGCGCCTGGGTGGCTCAGTGGGTTAAAGCCTCTGCCTTCGGCTCAGGTCATGATCCCAGGGTCCTGGGATCGAGCCCCGCATCGGGCTCTCTGCTCAGCAAGGAGCCCGCTTCTCCCTCTCTCTCTACCTGTCTCTCTGCCTACTTGTGATCGCTCTCTGTCAAGTAAATAAATAAAATCTTTAAAAAAAAAAAAAGTACACTTATGATGAGCCCTGAGTAATGTAGAGAATTGTTGAATCACTAATTATACACCTGAAACTAATTCAATTTAATTAAAAATTAAAAATGAACAAAATTAAAACCTCTAGAGATTGGGTAAATGAAAGAACTTTTAAGACTAGGGATGTTCAGTTTTAAAATTTTTTATATTGGCTTTATAATTGCCACCATTGTGCCTTCTTCCCCTCAAAATTTTACCAAATCTTTAATAAAGTCTTTTTTACTGATTAAAAAAAAATAATAAAAAATAAAATAAAAAGAAGGCTTCCAGGACTGTATCTTTAGAGACTTGAATTCGGTAGGACTTTAGAAACCCTTGCTATGGTGGTTTGTTCCTGGAATAGGAAGTTTAGGAATTTATACATGATAAATCATAGAAGAATTAGAAAAGGGGGGGGAGAAAACATTTTATTCATGCAAATACAAGGCTGACCAAAAGCCATGTGTCTTGATCTGAGGCTTAGAGGAGCCTGCCTAACCTAGAAAAGGTTTACTGATCCTGGTAAAACCAGTGATACTCCTGGAACTGATTCAGGCATTTGAATTCATTCTCACTGAATCTGGGGGGTCTAGTTTGATCCGAACCACTGAGAAGCTTGAGCTTTTCTGGAACCTAGAACTGAATGGTCCTTATCACAAAGAGACTCCCTTCACTTACCTCAAGTCAGGTTTGTATGAAAGGAAAAATGTCTGTTGGGCTGATGTGAGGTCCTTTACATCAGAAAGTTTTACTTGGTTCATCAAATAAAACCTCTTCCAAGAAAACTAATGTGGGGACACCTGACTGGCTCAGTCAGTAGAACATGTGACTCTTGATCTTGGGGTTGTGGGTATAGAAATTACTTAAAAATTTTGAAAAATTAAAAGAAAACCAGTGTAAAAACTAGGTCCTCAGAGAGAAGTTATACCAAACCCCAAGAATGTTCTATGAGGAGGAAGCTGTCAACTGGTATATGGAGGCCATGGCTGCTGTTTAACAGGTTTTATCATCTGATACTGATAACATTTAGAAACTCCAGGTGCCTTTGAGACATAATGTGTTCCAAAAATGTAGTTCCCTTGGTTAGTGGTTACACCATATGTCAGTTCTAATGAGTTTATTCTAGGGCAGGAATAAGTTCTCTTCTGTTAAACATTTCCTCCTAAATCAGTTTGCAGACATTTTAGGAACTATTCCAACACCCAAGCTGAAAATATTGGCTTCCTCTCAGATTAAAACCATCCCAGCAGTTAGCAAACAATGACCAGAAGGTCTTAAATGTAGCCCCTGTGGACCCTTGAGAAAACATCTTGAAACAGTATGGTAAATAGATTCAGAGAAGGCGTGTAGTTTGGCTTAAAAACTATTAAAACTTGCTTTCTGTTTCCAGGGCTACTGTCATATGATCCAGGAGAATTTAGATAATGTCTTCTGCTATAAAATGGAAGAAGAGTATCCCATCATGTAATGGGATTCCAGATGTCATTGGAAGGAAGAACTGTAGCTACCACATTAGTATTGACTCACCTATCCAGTGAAGGTCTGTGAAAGCCTAAAAGAACAATCCATGGACTCACAGGGAGAGGAAATCATTGTTGTGGTTTGAAGCTCTGTTGAGGTCATCCTATAAAATTAATAGCCACAAAAGTGGATATGGGCTTTTTATTATACCCCTCAATCCCTAGGTCATTGAAAAATCTGTTAATGTATACTGAGTTTTTCATAATAATAGGAGTAAAAAAAAACTGGTTGCTCAAGGTGGTCCCACATTTAACAGTAAACACTTTGGAATACAAGTGATTTTAGAAAGGGTGTGTTTGTGTGTGTGTGTGTGTGTGTGTGTGTTATATTTAGCGGTAATTTTTAAAATAATCTGATTACCAAAGGAATATATGTTTATTATAGTCTTTTGTGAGAATACACACCCACACCTAGGACAGTTAAGTGACCTATTGGCCTGACCTACAGAGATAACAGAAAGAAGGCGGGAACTAGGTGAAGTGTTACCTTTCCTTGAATGAATTTCTGGAAGTAGAACACATGGTTTTAAAGACTTTGACAAATATTACTGAATTGTTCTCCAGAAACATGATATCAGTTTGTATAACCTCTAAGAAAGCATGAAAATAAATCACTCCCTTTCTTGCCTAATTGGATGTTATCTGCTTTTTGGTTTGTTTTATTTTGTTTTAATTTGGGGGGACTAACTTGTTTTTGTAAATTTTTGCAAGGGACGCTTAACTTAAACCAGGAATTCTCCCTGAGAATAGGGCAAATGTGGAGAAAGGACCAGAGACGAAGAAAACTAGCATAAGGGTCCCAGCAGATGCCACTTGATTTCCTACATCGGTAATCCTAGGTTAAAATCACTTTGAGTTCAAGAAATGTGGGGCAGAATTAAAATAGGCTTTATCCTGAATTAGTCTTTGTCCCTACTTGAGCAATAAGCACTCTAACTTCAGTCTGTTTAGAAACAGTCCAAACAAGCCAAAATTTGCTCTTAGAATAGAGTCAGAAAGAAAGTTAAGCCTTCAGTAGTTTCAGGTTGATAGGAGCAAAGGAGTTTCCTTAATCTCAGGCCTGGATTTTCTTGGAAGCTCTGGTTTCTTTTGGCTTCATCAGGGAAGGCTTAAATTTTACCATTATAGCCCCCTCCCCCCATTTCCTTTACTTAACCTCCCTTCCTCAAGTGTTACTGTTTTTTTATCCCCTTTATTTATTTCACTCATCCTGTCCACCCACCTCCCCTCTGGCAACCACCAGTTTGTTTTCCATATTCAAGAGTCTGTTTGTCTTTTTTCCTTGTTGATTTGTTTTGTTTCTTTAATTCCTCATATGAATGAAATCATATGATATTTTTCTTTCTCTGTCTGACTTATTTCACTTAGCATTATATTCTCTAGATCCATTCATGTTGCTGCACATGTCAAGATTTCATTCTGTTTTATGGCTGAATAATATTCCTTTGTGTGTGTATGTGTGTGTGTGCACGCCACATCTTCTTTATCCATTCATCTATGGATGGACACTTGGGTTTCTTCCATATCTTGGCTATTGGAAATAATGCTGCAGTAAACAAAGGGGTGCATTTATCTTTTTGAATTAATATTTTCTTTTTCTTTGGGAAAATATCTAGTAGTGGAGTTATTAGATCATATGTTAATTCTATTTTTAATTTTCTGAGGAACCGCCGTACTGTTTTCCATAGTGGTTGCCCCATTTGGCATTCTCACCGAAAGTACAGGTTTCCCTTTTCTCTGTATTGTTGCTAGCATTTGTTATTTCTTGTCTTTTTGATTTTAGCCATTCAGACAAATGTGAGGTGATATCTCATTGTGGTTTGGGTTTGCATTTCCCTGATGATTAATAATGCTGAGCATCTTTTCACATATCTGTTGGCCATTTGTATGACTTTTTGGGAAAAAATGTCTATTCAGGTCCTCTGCCCATTTTAATTGTGTTATTTGGGGGTTTTGTCTTCTTTAATGATGATT